CAGGTGTATCACCACATCTCATTGTCAACGTGAGTTTCCTGCATCGTCCCTATTCTCCAGTTTGGACTGCGGAGTTCGAACTCCGGAGGACACGAGCCTGAACGTGCCGTTTTCCCCACCCAACGCTGCAAAAACCCTGAAATACTCGAGAGTTTTCTGCATAAAGTTGAGTATTTTCAAGTCATATATATGTGTGTGTATATATATATATATATATATATATATCTCATAGTGTGTAAATGTGCTTTCTTTCTGTGTGCACATGCCATAACAAGCCCTTTAATTACTGCTGGTTCTGATGTTTCCATACTGTTTAACGATATAGAAATATTAACTTTTATACATTAAATGTAAATCTTAAAATATAATATTTCTGCTGTCAGTTTGTCTGAAGGTAAATTCTGAATCAGAGTTTTAGTTCTGACTCCTTATATTTAGATTGGGCCACACTTGCATACAAATAAATATATATGAATAAAATCAAACATTTACAGTTTGGTGTATATTTGATTTAGAATATCACATACTACAAATATACATTATAATGAGGTATCAACAGGTGCGAGTTTCCTGCATCCTCCCGTTCTCAAGTTCGGACTCCGGAGTTCGGACTCCGGAGGACACGAGCCCAAGCATACTGCGCTCTGTACAATAAATGTAGATCTCTAAGTCAAATGCCAAATGGTTTGTATTGGAGTTATAGTTCTGACTCCTTATACTTACAAACACACTCACCTACAGATTAAAAAAGATATATCAATGATAACGGACTGCAGAGTTCGAACTCAACACGAGCTCAAACATGGAGAATATACACTTTGAAATGAGGTAATAACGGGTGTTTAACCACATCTCATTGTCAATGCGAGTTTCCTGCATCTTCCCGTACACGACTTCGAACTCCCGAGGACACGAGCCTGAACATGGCGTGGTCAGTTTGAAGACGTATCATCTGTAATGTTCTTCCTGTTATAATAGTCCTTACCTTCCTTCAGAAGCAGACTGTAGCACAGAGCTCTTACACCTCCAGTCGTCTACAGTTTCTTTGCAATAGATAACACACACACACACCACTGTTGTACACACAATTACAAAACAAAGTATTTTAACAAATAAGTCACCTCTTTACAGAGAAACACATGAGACAGGTGACATTTTCTGTTCAGGTGAAGCTGAAATGTCAGTTTCAGAGAAGCGTTGATCGGCGTGAGGGAGGCACAAAGAAGACAAGGCCATGAAGGCTTCACAGAAACAGCCCTTATTTTTAAAATCTATGGCAGTATCGTAATAATATAATAACCCTGATACATGCTGTTCTCCTTTGTGTCTGTATGGGAGGAGTTCAAATTGCGGCAGTTCAACTTTGCCTTGCTTATCGGTAAACAGACGTCCTGTAGAGTGTGACGGGAGGCCTTTTCTGACCCATTACTGTCCACGGAGCTGCACACAGGGCAATAAACTGTAAACTTTTTAAATTAATTTGCAGTGATCACTACATCCGCCCACCATGTGCTCTGGTGGAAAGAGACTGTAGGAGGGAGGTTCTTTTTTTTTTTTAAATGAATGCTTAAGTGCCAAAGTATCAAATGATCTGGAAAACAGTTTAAAGTCATGTTCTATGATCTCAGTGCAGAAAATATATAAAAAAACCTTAATTTTCTTTAGTTTATCAATTGCATCGAAGCCAGAAACACAGCGAGCCAGCAGGGATGTACTTAATTATTTTAACGAGCTTTTCCCACAAAAACACAGTTGAAAACAAAGTGATGATGTTCTGGTAAAAACAACTATATGTCAAGATCACAAAATAACATGATCACAAGGAGAAAAACATCAAACCAAATTAATTTGTGTGTCCTCTTGAAAGTTTTACATTTTCCATTAGATTTTATTGTTATTTCACTTTGAAACTTGTTTTCATTGTTAGTTTTTATTACTTAAATTTTTTCCTATAATGTGGGTTAAATATAAGAGCTGCAGAATATGTAAATAAACACTTTGTAAAGGTAATTGATTTACAGCCAGTCTCAAAAAAAAAATATGCACCAATGTGTGTAGACACTTTGGACCAAATTGACTAAAACTAAACACATTTCCTGTATATTTAGGTTTAGTTTCCACCTTCGAATTTGTTTTTTTTTTGTTCAGTTAACTAAAACATTTTTCACCCATAGTTTTAGTTTTTATTTTAGTTTTAAAAGACTATAATAATCTTTGCTGTATCTGGCAAGCTAACGGTGACATGGTACCTAGTAGGGTTGAGTGAGTATCCGATACAGACTATGTACTTTTAGTATCATCATATAAAATGTGTCACTTTGTAAACGTTGCTCTGAGGCTGTTCTGTGAATTGCTTTCTAATAAAGTTGTTGTCAGCTACCTAGAAGCAATAGTGTGTTTATATCATCAACTCCTGTTTTACAACTGACTTCAAACCATGCTGAACATTTGGAAAAAGATGCAACATATTCCAAAACATTTTCCAGTGTCTCCATCTTGACCTTGAAGTTAAATCCCGTATAAAGGTAGAACAGCATGTATCTGAGCTATATGTACAGTAAATGTGCTGAGAGACTAACATTCATACTGTTTACAGAAGACGCTACGTAGCATTCAGGTTAAACTCCTGTCGAACCAAAAACAACAGATGCACCATGCTGGAGTCTTCCTTTTTCTTTTTTTAAATTGATAAGAAAAAAGACTTGAACGTTTAATAGCCTTTGGACTCAGTGGCAGGCAGCCTATTTGTTGTTACACCACAGTTGGCGGAGCTGTGCTACTGTCGCCTCCCTGTGGTCCACACTTTAATTATTTGTTAAATTAAAATCTCACAGATTAAAAAAAAAAAGAATAATCCTGGTGATGCAACAACATCCAAACATTTCTGTAAGCGTTGAGTAACTGTAGATACAGTGTTCGATATAGAGCCATGAAAATACTGACAGAATATATTTACGTGTTGCGTTTTTTGGTATTTGTTGGCACTGTTTTTTTGATTTTGTTTTTTTTGAGCGATTGAGGATTTTCATTCCAAAATGCTACATATCCATTATCAGACAACAAACAGGTACCTGAAACTTTAGAGTTCTCCATCGTTATAGTGAATTATGTTTATTTGGATATCTTCTTTTGGAATGAAACCCCTGACAGTTCATTGCTACCCTACAAAATAAAACATCAGGAACTACTTTTGTGAACGCCAGCTGTTAAGTAAAGTTTAAACTGTATGAACAGAAGACATACATTTAATTAATTATACATTACACGCAAAACAGAAACTTTTTGTCAGGGCTTGAGATGAATGCAGATGCTGATTTTCTTAGTTTTGGTGCTCTCCAGTTGTAAGCTGTGATTGTTTTGACTGTTGATTAACATATAAATTGTTTTATTGATAAGCATTTAAACATTTACTCTACACAAGGTCAAATCTAAAAGAAAGTTGTAGTAAAATGTATGCTAACTTAATTAAGTCTTACAATAGCAAAGTGATAGAAGAATTTTAAAACGCTTCATAAGTATTGATTGTATATAAATTATCTTCCTTTATTTCATTGTTTACTTAATTTAAAGCCGTGGCTTGTTTCTGTAACTTGGCTGTAATCATCAGTGCAAAGTCTTGTATATAGAAAAGTGATGATTACGCGAGAGGCACAAACCGGGAAGTTTTGTGTTTTCCGAATGTAAAATCAAAGCTGATTTATTTTCCTGATTGTCTGAAAGAAGAAGAGCAGCTTTGAGCCTCTCTGATCAATAACTTTATGGCTCAAGGATTAAAACTATGGAAGATCATTGCAATCACCAAAGTAAAAATACTGGTTGTTCAGCATTTCTTAATTAGAAGATCTACACTTGACACCGCTGTATCTTTAAGGTATTGATCCTTGTTTGTCATTGTAAGGTTTGTTCTTTATTTAACTGAAATCATAAAGATCATTTTATTATTATTATGATTATGAGATATTGATTATTATATTATTAGTACTTGTATTATCTTGCAATTATGACAGCATTTAATAATTTTAACAATAAGATCTGTCTTTTAATAATCAGAAGATCCAGGTTTTATAAGACTTTGTAATTACGAGGTAAATCATTTTGTCTATTTGCTTATTTAATGGAGACATTATGGACAAATATTGTTCCTTTTGCAACAAGCAACACAAATAAATTACTTGGAAAATTTTTACCTCTTGATTACGAAAAAATAATCTTGTGATTACGAAACAAGGATGTCAAGAATTACGAGATTAAATATTATGCAAGAAAGTTGTAGTAAAACGTACGAAAGTTTAAGATTAACTAAGTTATACGATGTATAACTGAAATTGTACGATGTGAGAATTTAAAATCTATGGACGAGTCTCATCTTCCCGTTAATCACAACAACAGATCAGATTTTTGTAATTACGACATCGTAATTACAAAAACAATCTCGTAGATTAAATGATTATAAAATCCTTATCTTGTATTTACATAAAAATGTTTAAAAATAATAATTACGAGATCCCGAATTACGCAACAAGGATGTCTTAATTATGGAATAATTAAAGACTTTTTAACCTGTAATAGAAAAGGATTTTCTAATTATGGGTTAAAATAATTAAGAAACCAAACAGATCAACATGATCCGTTAACTTAAAGATTACACAACTGCTATATATTTATCTAATAAAGACAAAACAAGGATCTCATAGTAACGAGACACAGATCTACGAGATACAGAGCGAGTAATTATGACTTTTAATGTTCTTTAGTGAATGCAATGTACTTTCATAGAAAATGAGCTGATTTCAGCTTAAACTCCTAAATATCCTTCAAACACGACCCGTACCTGATTTAATTCAGTTTTGTTTAGTGAAATTTAAATATTTTGCCATTTTAATGTTTTGTTACTAAAAATCTTTAAAACGTCTCCTCATTTTTAATTTTGTGCTTTTTTAAAATGTTGTTGCAGTTGTTATTTTTTGTGTGAAGTTGGAGCTAAATGTCTCGTTGGCCCCTCAGAGTTCACTGACCCTCTCACTGAGGGTCTCCAGCTCCTCTTCTTGCTCCTTGTAGCGTTCCACCCCCGACCCGCAGTCGCTGCGGGGGCCGTTGGCGAGGTGCGTGGGGTAGTCGAGGCCGCTCAGCTGGGCGTGGTGATGCCAGCGCAGGTCGTCGCTCTCGTGGGTGATGTAGCGCTCGTTCATCCGAGACTCCAGGTTTCTCAGGTCCAACCACATCTGGTAGTCCTGGTGGAGAAAACCAACCCTCCCTCAAATATAGCGGCTCATTTGTTGGTACATTATTTTATTTAGGGTTTCTTTTATTTTAATACGTATTTTACTCCCATTGATTACAATGTCAAATGTCGTGTGGCCCAACAGAGCTTACAATCTTTGAAACCCTTCAACGTTAGACCCTTTGATTCAGCTAAGAAAAGACAAAGATCATCAGAGTAAAATATATAAAATGTGTTTGGTTTGTCCGTTCTGGGCCACCGTAGAAACATGGCGGACTCCTCCAGAACAGGACAACAACAGTAACAAAAACACAACAGGTCAACAATGAACAGACAGAAACAAATGTTTTGTTCATTTACTCTGAAATTTAACTTGAAAATCTTAATGTTATTTTTACTTTTTGACAGACTAGTTAAATCAAAATGTTGAATACAGACAACGTAAAACATCAAACCCTGAAGTCTTGTATGAAGTTGCATTACTGAGCTTTGTACTCCAGAACGTGTACTTTAATGTGGTTTTCATTGTTAACTGTAAGTCTCTTTTAATCTGGTATTAACATTAGTTGCTTTGTAGTAAAGTAAATAATAAAGTTATATATATAAAATAAAGTTTAACATCTTCAGCTTCCTCATTCAGTCTGGCTGTGAGGTGACTGAATGTTGTTTCCTGTCATTAATTAAACATTTAAAAAGGTGTTTTGGATGGTTTGCATCCTACCTGTAACCAGGGGTGACTGAGGGTCTTGTCGACGCTGTATCTCTTCCTCATCTTCACCTGCAGCAGGTTGTTAATCAGGTCGATCGCTGCCAGGAAACAAAGGAAGAAGTGATGAGCGATGTTAAAGTGAAGGTCCAGCAGAGGGATGATGATGGAGGATGATGATGGAGGAGGAGGAGGAGGAGGAGGAGGAGGATGTAGGGCCCTCCCCTGTGGTGAGGGGCCAGCCGGGGCTAATGAGCAAAGCTAACATGATGTTAACATTTCTTCAGGGGTCAGCGGTCTGAACAGCTCTGGGACCCCGCGGCCCCTCAGGTCTACGGGGGCCTCCATCGCTTGGCATTATGCACATGAATGGACCAGCACATGAATACCCCCGAATCTGTCTGTCTCTCTTTCCAAGAACTACCCACTCCTCCTTTCTGCCCCTCATTCCTCTTTCTCAGGGGAGTCACATGACCCTCTTTAATCTTTTCCTTTTAAAGTGGGGCCGAAGGATGGCGAGCTCAGAGCGAGAGAAGAGAAGACTCCAACAGACGGGATGTTTAATGCGTGATCGTCTCCCTTTGTGATGATTCTCATCATTTATTCAGGATTTTATTCTAATTTCTTCTGTATGTGAGCACAAACACCCATTTACACCCGGTATTAAACACAAACTGTATCCGGACACATTATCCAGATTGGGAAGAAAAGGTACGTAAATGGAAGAGTTGTGATCAAACTGGAGGTAGTTGGGTTGCATTGTGTGTGGGTCTACAGATATTAATAACTATTGATTATGTGTCTTTTCTGTGCCATGAAAGCCACAGAAGATGCTGATCTCTCAGAGACGTATCGCTCGAAACTGCCACCAAGAAAACCATTGTTTTCATTCGGAAAGGTGCGCCTGTCTGCTCGCCGTCAGGTTATTCTAATGTTTTTTAGACGCAGACAAAAGTTTAAATATTCTTTTCAGCTTAAGTCCTGCTGCGATAACGGCTTGTAGCACGTGTCACTACAACCGTGAGTCCTGGCAGCACACAGACTCTCGGACCAGATAGTTGGTTCACGTAACCTTCTATTGTAGACTCAGTGCCAACACAAACAACACGCAATCGTTCCACTACTCTACAGCTCTCGCTCTCAGTAGTATCTCCGGCCCCAGGTCTAGGGCCCTACTGCAAGATAAAGGTGAGTGATTAGGCAACGATTAACAGCTGAGGTAATCAACTCACCTGGTGCTGCTCTCACAAGCCTTCCCCACACCTCTCTGTCCTGCAGCTGAGTGCAACCACACCCACCTCCACACGGCCTCACTGGATTTCTTTATGAAATTATTAAAAATGAATCTGCTTCTACTATTTGTCGCCTGTTTCATCTCAAATAGTTTAGTGTAAGTATCTTAATATTTGAATTGAGGCATGTGTTAATGAGAACTGGATACAGCAGTGGAGGAAGGCTCTGTTCATTCTTATGGAAGCTGCTCATTAACACATGAAGCCAAAAAGTTTACGCAGAACTTCCTCATTTGCTTCTGCTAACTTTAGCCTTCCGCTAACTCGAATGGAGTTCTTTCGTATTACGTAACACACACCTGGATCACTGTCATTACACAGTTTGGCCACTTTGTCAAATTGGCTTCGGTGCTCTTCCTCTGGGCCTCTGCTGAACAGGTTAGCGAGCTGGTTAGTACTTGTACTGTGAGAGGCTACGGAGCAGGGCTGTAGTAGTGGAGGGTAAAGCAAAGTTACCTCCTCTTTGAAATGAAGCGTGAATCCAGTGAAGGCAGATTTCTAAAGGGAGGACAAATATTAAGAAATTGTCTTTGACTAAAGAAACACAAAACTTTTTAAGGGAGTCTGGGGCTGATTTTCTGCCCCTCAAATTACTAACAGGTACAGGTTTTAATGTCTCAACAGGAACATTATGATACCAGGTGTAAACAGGGTGAGTTCACATTATAAAACCTATAAAACAGATTAATCCTCCACTGTTTTGTGGATTGAAGACACATAATGTTAATTCTGTTCACGAGTCAAAATGTGATGTTTGACATAAAAGAGGTGGAGTTTGAAAAGTGCCCTAACTTTAACTTCTTTATCCGAGTGTCTCCATTAAAGACTTCGGTGGTGTTTGCATGTGGGCAGAGGGAGAAATGAGTTCTGTAACAGGAGCCCTTTAAAGTGTCTTCTCTTAAAGTGATCTTTGAAAATGCAGATTTGTTGACGCAAGAGTTTATTCCCTGACATTTAATCCTCCCGCGGCTGACAGAAAACGACTTTTACAGCATTTCTTTTGAAGCGCAGCTGAAGTCGCTCTGGCGGGATGAGGAGGTGGAGGGAAGGTTAAGAGCGCTTCGGGGATCCGGTTGCCGGAGCGAGTGAGTCAGGCTGATTTAAATCTGTCTCGCAGTCAAACAGGACAATTCCAGCCAACAAACACACAAGACGGACGCATTTAGAGACAATGACGACAACAACATGAGTCACGCAGCAGCAGCAGCAGCGAGCGGTTCAGACTGACTTCAAGGACACCAGAAATAATAACCTGTGCTGATGTTAGAGGACCAAATAAATAACCAGCAAGTCACACAGGAAATATTATAGGGTAGGTTCACACTGTTTATATGTGTTGGTATAGGAAGGATGATGCTCTAATCTAACCTCTTCATTACTGAACATTTCAATACTGACTCTGTTGAGAATAAACTCATTTTGGTTTCTAGCTGCTTTACTAAATTTTAGTTTTGAGTTTTTCAGTCATGGAAACACCTTTAAACTGATTAAAATGACCAAATATCCTGAAAATTAACTGTGTTGTCCCGGAAAATCTGACTTATATTTGACCTAACAGCAGCTACATTAGCAGTTAGCGGAGTTGAGGCAGAGCAGCCGGAGGACGTCAGAGGGAAAACCAGACAATATTCTCTCCATAAAATATGATCCAGTTTCACCCAAATGTTTGTACAGTAATCAGTGAGCTCCGCTAGTTAGCCATGCTGTTAGCTATCTAGCCATTTTATATCAAACATTTACGCAGTATACAGATACACAAAGTCTGGAGTCTGCCTGCACTACAATTGGACTGTGGGTTGCCAGGTTGTGGCGTGTGGACTGGGTGTAATAGACGTATTTATTATTCATAATAAAGTTTGGCCCGTGCAAATTACACGAGTTCTAAACAAAAGGAGGTCACCGGGAGATTGCCTTGAAATACAGGAGCGTTGGTACGATAACACCAAACTCGAGGCTTTTAAACGTTGCTGCATTAACAATGGGTGACGTTACGATAAGTTCACACTTGGTTGTCGTCCACCATGATTCACTGGTCTGGTCAGATTATTATCAGACTGATAACTAGTAATATTAAAGGAAATATGAGTCAACGTACACAAACTGTACAGCTTTACGGTTTATGGATATAGCGAGGGAGTTAACTTTATATGAAGATAAATGAACAGTAAGAAACAAGCTGTAGGTGATTTTTGTCCTTTATAGTTCAGTAGTCAAGGTTGTGGCTCATGATGGTTTCTTTATGTACCTTCCTGGGAAACTTTCTTCCAGGGATGAGGAGGGTACATGAAGGCAGCGTTCTGGATCTGATCGTTGATATCTTCATCTTCATTGAAAGGGAAAGTCCCACTGAGACTGCAGAGCAGAGAGAGAGTTTAATAGTAAATACAGGAATTATATCAGAGGAGTGCTGTGATTGGTGGAACACGTATGTGTTTATCATCCTGGAGGAAAAACACAAAGACAAACGCACTTAAAATAAATAAGCAAAAAAGCAAGAAATTTAAATACAAAAAGCGTCAGCGTCCTACCTGACGTAGATGATGACTCCGACCGACCACATGTCCAGAGAGCGGTTGTAGCCTTTGTTCCTCAGGACTTCGGGAGCGAGATAGGCCGGCGTGCCGACCACCGAACGACGGAACGACTTCTCACCAATGATCCGAGCGAAACCAAAGTCACAAAGCTTCACCTGAAACAAGAGCATGGAGGTGTGTTACAAAGGTTAGGGATGAATCACTCGCACTCAGGAAAAAGATGGAAGTGATCGGGGATACATTGGTTTGCTCCACAGTCGTGTTGTGATGAATCAGTTCTCTTCGGCTCATGTCTATTTTGGGTTATATTGTTCTTATCGATGCTGTCACTCCTCATTCAAGTGCATATTCAACCGTAGGTGGACCGACCCTATTTTCAAGTGTCGGCGTTGGTCAAACCGGCAGAAAAGCATCGTTGGCTCATCAGATTTGTTCTGTTGATTGACACATTTACTGTACCTGGACTTCTCCGGCTTCGTTAGAGCGAGTTTTATCACTGTCAGCTGTCAATCAGCAAAATGCTCCAATGCTAACTGCTGCTAATACCAAAATGTCTTGTTTGTACAATTTTATTTCTTCACCAGTTCAGTAAACAAGATAAATGTGAATAAGACAGATTTGGA